AGCCAGAGCAGCCTGATGGGTGGAGTGAGCCTCCAGGGCATGGCAGGGCGTTCTTAGAGCCCGTGGCAAGCTTACCAGGAGGAAGAAGGATGGGGATCGGGAAAGGGGGCCCTGAGATGTGGAGTGGAAAGCCTGTGTCCCCAGACCCACTGTTTTTGGTCTGGGGCCACTGAGTGGAGGTGGCCCCACCGCTGGAGACAAACCTGATACAGGCCGGAACCTTGACTGAGCTCCCGAATGACCCTAGCTCTCAAGAGCACATGAGCATGCCCCATGCCACCGGCTAGCTACCTTCCCGGCCAGTGCAGTTCTCCATCTGCAATCAACCTTGTGGCCTTGGGGTTGACAGTCAACCTCTGGGGTGCCAGGGAGGTGGGCATGGGGCTCCTAGGTCCCAGGCAGTTAGAGGCTGAGCTGGCCTCCGGCATGCAGGGAGATGCCCCGGGTGAGAGCGGGTCACAGACACCCAACTCAGGGAGGCAGCCGTTTGAAGAGCACTGGCAGATTTCCTACGGCTGGTCCCCAGGGTTTCAAGTCATTTGCCACGCACGGGACCACGAGCTGGCCCAAGGAAGTTGCTCTTGTCTTCACGGGGCATCGTAGCCAACAGTGAGGACAGAGGGCCAGGACAGAGGGCCTTCCATTTCCCCCCAAGAATCCCTGGGGCTGTCCAAGAACAAGCTATCTCTGGAAGCTATCCCTGGCCCTCCTGGTCACACTGTGGGCAACGTCACCACCAGCTGATGACAATACACTGAAGCAAAATCTAAAGGAGGGCCGCTCAGGAGGCCTCCAGTTCTGCCTGCCCTCCTGGAACCTTCTAGGGTGTGGGTGGGGGTGTGGGAAGCTCCAGGCACAGGGCATGAACCGTGGCGCCAGGCATCAGCAAGCCGGTCTCTCTCTGCCCTGCCTCTTCTCTGCCATTAGATGGGGCAGCCACTGTCTAAGCAGGATGAAGGTGCTGACCAAGGTCCCTTGGCCCCGGGTGTGCGTGGGTTCTGTGGAGTCGTGCCCGGCAGTGACACTTGTCATTGCAGCAGCTGTGACCAGTGTGGCCAGTGTCCGGACCTGTTTGGGACTATAATCACGGTCGTAGCCAGGTGGCAAGCGACGGATCGGCTACATCGTTTGGGGCATCGGATTTGGGGCCTTCAGAGAGTATTGCAGCCACCAGCCATGCCCAGAACCTGGCCTGGTCCCGTCGCCCGAGCTCCTTCGTCCCCAGGGAACCCCGCCTCCCACCCTCCTGCCACGCTCCCCAGTGCCCCGCTGCCGTCTCTGCCTCTGGCCACTCCTTCTGTGCCGTGTTCTCATCCGGGCGCCGCTGGGCAGACTTCCCTCCCCTCACCAAGGGGATGCCACCTGCAGCGTGTGGGTGCGTGTGCCGCCCTGGCTTAGCTGCGTGCGGTCCGGGGCGGCCTCTGGGTCTGGGCCCCCTCCTGGCTCCTCTGAACACGGGCGGGCTGCCAAGCCCTCTTCCGGCTCCTGCTTCTAATGTGCGAGCCCCCACCTAGAACCTGGCTTGCTGGCTCCCGCGTCGTCCGTGGATGGCTTGGCAGAAAACGCTCTTCACAAGGAGGTGCCACATTACTTTCTCTGTTGGAGCTTGTTGGCACTGGAGGACCCGGGGCCCTCTCGAGAGCCCCTGAAGGCAGGCAGATGTGTGTGCTCAAGTGCAGCTGGGCCTCCGACCTTGGGGAAGGGGGGTGCCGCCTCTGGCTGGGAGGTCCTGGCCAGCATGTCTCGTGGCCAGAACCAAAGATCGGCTTAAGGAGTCCGGAATCCAGAGAGATCAAGTCCAATTCCCTGGAGGTGGCCGGGGCCCAGGAGGGACAGCGCCCAAGGTCACCCGCCCCGAGGTGGGGGCTGAATCTGGTCGGGCTCTGGATCTGGCCACCTCCAGATTCTAGAATCCTCCCTAGACTGACGCCGAAGAGCAGGGCTTTGCGATGCCCACCACCTTGCCACGTGGGACATGCTCGGGGGTTCACGGGGTGAGGGGGGGTGTGCGCGAGGGTTGCAGGTCCCTGGCCTGTTGTTATTGTCTTTGCCCAAAGCTGTTCTCCACACCAGCCACTCGGGGTGTGCGCAGATTGTACCAGGAACAACAGAAAGGGGGGCAAGACGGGGGCTAGCCCTTTGAATCTGTTTTCTCCTTTTTCTCTCCTTTTTCCCCATCCTCCTCCCTGCTGGAGCCGTGAGGCCAGGCGCTGCAGTGACAGTGTCTGTGAAATATTAATGAGGCTGGTCTAGGTGTCCGCTCCTTCCTGCTGCCTGCGCAGCTCAGGGTCAGGAAAGCAGGTGTGGGTAGGAGGGGGTTAAAGACGGTGGGCTGATGTTGGCCGCAGAGAGCGGGGGGCGCTGCGTGGCCCCCTGTGTGTCGACCCGGCCGGGCTCTCAGAGGTTCACGCTGGTTGAGCAGCGGCCTGTGGCGTAAAGGATTCCCCGCAGGCTGAGTGGGGGTCCCAAGACTGATGGGCAGATGGTTCTCTACGGGCACCTCACCCTTCTTCCTCGCGTGTGGTCCCACTGGGGCCCTGGGGGCTTGTCCTTGTCACCAGCTGTCAGGCAGGAGGACGGAAAGGACAGCCTGGGCTCCCTGCCGCCACTTGGGTGCTGGCACTTGAGTGGCAGCTGTGCCCAGGCCTCACTGACACAAATGGGCAGTACCCCAGCTTGCTCTGAATGGGACTTGGGCAAAAGGGATGTGGCAGAGGCTCAGCTGAGCCCTGGGCTTCGGGGCAGCATTTCTATAAAGGTGAGGCTGGCTGTGGGTTGGATGGCGGGAAAGCCAAGCGGGGGGCGGGGGCGCCTCCCTCCTGCCACCTGCCATGGCTTCTTGGAATGTGGACGGCGGAGACTCATGAACATCCCCTGGCCTCAGTTTACCCATCTGGGAAATGGAAAGGAGATACCTCTTGCCCTTACGGGGTGTCCCTAAGAGTGGGGTTGTAAGAGAGCAGGGGGATCCTAGCACATTCAGGAAGCTTCTTACCCTGGGCCTGGAGGGAGAGATGTCAGGAGGCCATGTGGCAGATGCTGGCAACAGGAAAGGGGTATCCTGGCTTTGAGGTGGGGGTGTAGACAGTCACTCGGCCTGGGGGTCCAGGCTGCGCTGGGGAAAGGGTGTGGAAGCAGGGGCCAGCATCCCGTGGAGAGCTGCCCCCCGCCTCGTGTTGGCCAGTTGGGGCCAGGCAGGAGCGAGGCTTATTATGAAATGATGGCGATCTAGGTGTGAGCGACGAGAGGGAGCCACAGTGTCCACAGTAGCCGGCTGCTGCCCCTTCTGGCCCCAGAGACATGGGCGGCCCATAGCTTTTCTACATCCCTGCCAGCAGTGCGGGGAGACAGGGAGGTGGGGGGCACCTGGGACTCCCCCGGGGTTTGCCGCCTGCCTCTCCCCTGCCCCTGCAGTCATGAGTTACTGCAGCCAGGCAATCACCTTGAAAACTAAGCAGGTCACAGAAGAGCCCCCCCAGTTCCTATATCCCGGAAAGAAGCCTTCCCCAGCCTCGCTGTTGGCCTCTGGCCCTCACTCCTGCTTGGCCCCAACCGGTCAACATGGCGGGGGGCTCTCCATGGGCCTCTGCTTCTACACCCTTGCCCCAGCGGAGCCTGGACCCCCAGTCCAGGTGCTGGGGGCCCGTTCACTCTGGGCTGCTTGAGTGGCACCCCACATGCTCATAGCCCTTTGGGGGACCCCTTCTGGCAGCTTTGAGCTCCAGGAAGGCACAGGGCTGGCGGCCTGGGTCTCGGGGGCAGAGAAAGGGGAGGTGCACCACAGACCACCTTTCTTAGCGAGGAAGGGAAGGGCTGTGGGGGCGGCAGAGAAAGCCAGGGCAGGGGTGCCATGGAAACGGCAGTGACCGTGAAGTGGGAGGCTGCTGCCAACCTCACCAGCGTGGGCAAGGAGCCCCCGTCTGCACCATGCATCTATCTCACCAGGATGCCCCCAGCCCCGCAGCCATGGGCAGTGGGAGCACCACCAGGAGGGATGACTCCGGCCCACTTCCCAGAGGTGCCCCCTGTGCCTACCCCACACCAGGGGCCTGCGTGGGGATGCGGGGCTCCACGAATGAGATGGCGGGGGGCATTGGCAAGAGGGGGGCTGCAGAACACCACGGTAAGTCAGGTGTGCAAAGCGGCCTCTCTGGACAGTGTAGCGCAGCAGTGAGTGCCACGGGGGCTTCAGGACTTGGAGACGAGCTTGGCAGGGAGGGCTCCAGCAGCTGGCTGGTGTGCAGGCCATGGCCTTGGGGTTCTTCCGCTCCTGCATGGGGGAAGTGCCGCGGGACACACTCAGATCGCTCCCATCTGCTCTCCTTGGACACCGAGAAGGCCGCAGGCAGGTTGATGTGGTGGTGAGCGACAGTCCCTGTCCATCCCTGCAGGAGAGCCCAGGTGCTGAGTTCGGGGGGTACGAGAGAGGGACCCCAGCTGGGGGGCAGCAGGCTGTATGTGGCCGAGTCACCAGGTGACCGCGGACTCTGTCCCGGGACCCCCTCTTCCTTCTCCCGCTCTCTTGCTCCCCGCTCTAGCTTCCTGGCCCCCCTCATCCTGCTGAGACCTGGCGCTCTGCGACCCTGCACAGCCCCAGGCCTAAGAGGGCAGGAGGCCGCCGGAAGCCAGCGCCTGGCATCTCTGGCAGGGCCTGCTGCCTGGGTGGGTCTTAATCAGGCAAGAGCTGGTGGCAGCAGGGCCAGGACAAGGCTGCTGCTGCTCCGTCTCCACCTGTCACCCTGCCTCAGTGTGGCTTCCCCAATGGATCTGGGGGGGGGGGGCCGAGGGCCTCCAGAGCCTCGCCAGCATGCCCGGACAATTCTTCCTGCCACAGCAGACCTTCGCTTTGGGCGCAGTGCTCCTGCTGGCCAGGACCGAGGGGGTGGGCTGAGGCGCCCGCCTGCCTGGGCAGTGACGTGCACCTCGGGGCCGCTTGGCAGGGCATGTTCTCAATCTCCGCCTCAACTGTGCGCCTGGCTTCTTGCCTCCCTCCCCCCCAGGTGTCTGCGGCTGGCCACGGCCCCACTCCCCCGCCACTCTCGTACCAGTTGGGGTGCTGGGACCTCGGTGGCCTCCTGTTCCTAGCTGAGAGGCTGGGCAGGATGGACGAAATGGCCAACAGTTCCATCGAGTCCCACCCCAAGGCCCCCCAGCCGGGGGGCTTCGGGTGCACCCTAGCTGAGCTGCGCTCGCTCATGGAGCTCCGTGGGGCCGAGGCCCTGCAGAAGATTGAAGAAGCCTATGGGGACGTCAACGGGCTCTGCCGGCGGCTAAAGACCTCGCCCACCGAGGGTAAGTGAGGGCCGCGAGCCCCCACTCCGCCTTCCACCCCTGCCGTTTTCCCCAAGCCGAGAGGCATGCTCCTCTTGGGGGTGGACCGGAGAGGGGAGCGATGAGCGTGTGCTGGCCGCCGGGCTCCCGAGCCCTTCCCACGCAGCTCTTGCAAGAAATGTGCTGGCGGAGAAAGGCCGGGCCCAGCCGCGTGCGCCTTCCACGGGCTTGAGCGCAGGGGAGGAGGGGGAGGAAGTGGGTGGCCCGGAATGGTGGGCCCCGGGCACCCAGGGTGCTGAGCGGAGGTGGCACAGCCCTGCCCATCCTGAGTGCATGGAGAGCTGGGGGCAGGTTCTCTAGAGGGTGCCAGGTCCAGCTGGCACCTCCCTGGCACGGCTATTCTCGGCCAGCACTGATTGATCTCAGCTCCCTTGTCCCCTGGGCCTTGGCCGGCTGATCTCTCTCTGTACAGGCAGCAAAGCCAGGTAAAGGGTGCTGCCCAGCAAACGACGTCTCGCCTTACCCCCTCGTGGCCCTGTCCCCTAGGATTTGGGGCCCAGGGGGTGGGGGTGGGTGGGAGCCAAGGTCTAGTGCCGGTCAAGGTTCCAGCCTTCCCCAAATAAAAGGAAGCGGCAGATTGAGCTGGGGGCGGTGGCTCAGTCTGGCAGGCCTCGTTAGCGTCTGAAATGTCAAGGCCTCTGGAGAGCGGCCTGGTGAAGGGCAGACAGGGGCCGGGTGGGCCGCATGGGAGCGGTGGAGGGATCTCGCCTGAGCACTGCCCCCTGCCCAGGACACCTGCCGACTTTGGCCTTGACTTCTCTCCCTCGTCCGGCTCCCCGCAGCCCGAGCTCCCCATGGCCCCAGCTGACCATGCAGAGTGGCGTTCAACTCTGGGCACTGCCATGGAGGAGTCTCAGAGCAACTCTCGGACCATGGTTACTGGCAGGCCCCGTGGGCCCCTGGGCCCCGTCCCTTCTCCTGTCTGGCCTGGAAAGGGGGGCTGAATTAGCTGGGAGCCACGCAGTGTGGTCCTAATCCCATTCTAATGGCGTCTGGCCTCTGTGTCCATGCCAACCAGAGAGCCCAGGCTGCCATGGGCAGTGGCAGCACACAGAGCTGTGGGTGCTCTGGAGAGGCTCAGTGAATAGCCCAGTACAGACAGCTGAGTCCCTGGCCCTCGGGAACGGAACCTCCGAGCCTGAGAAGGACAGGCACAGCTGGGGCCGTGGGGGGAGGACGGCGCTCTGGGCTCGCTCTGCTCGGCCCCTCCTGACCCAGCAGCCCCTCAGATATGGGTCTGGGCGGCAGGCTCCCCGGGTGGGGGCCCCTTTGCCTAGGCTGGTCTCTAGGGCAGGAGGCCTGGGCGGTGTGGGGGGCACTGATCCCTAACGCTCAAGCCCCTCAGCTGCTCCAAAGTTGGCAGCATGGCTGTGCGTGTCATTCCAGTCACCATAGAGACGGGCAGCAGCTGGCGCTGCTCAGGGCTGGCGCCTCCACAAGTCACGGCAGGTGTGGGGGGCTGGCAGCTGTCTCGCGGGGCAGCCAGGAGGGCACGGCAGGGGGCACCTGCCTTCCCTGTCTCTTCTGCGGCCACCTCGGGGTTTCTCCCTGCGTTGGGGGCCCCCTCCTCTTGCTTCCCCCTTCCCAGATCTGCAGCAAGGCACAGGCCAGAGGGGTGGGGACTCTTGGGAGCAGCGAGGTGGGGGTGGCCAGCCATTGGTGCTGCTGCCTCCTGACCCACGTGTCCACGCCAGGTCTGGCAGACAATGCCAACGACTTGGAGAAGCGCAGGCAGATCTACGGGCAGAACTTCATCCCCCCGAAGCAGCCCAAGACCTTCCTGCAGCTGGTGTGGGAGGCCCTACAGGACGTGACCCTCATCATCCTGGAGGTGGCGGCCATCGTGTCCCTGGGACTCTCCTTCTACGCGCCGCCTGGGGAGGAGAGCGAAGGTGAGCGCGTGGGAGCCAGCGGGCCGGGAGAGGCGGCTGGCAGGGCCTCTCCGCCATCGCCCCCACTGCCTGTCCCTCCTGTCCCGCTCAGCGTGCGGCAACGTGTCGGCTGGGGCGGAGGACGAGGGCGAGGCGGAGGCCGGCTGGATCGAGGGTGCGGCCATACTGCTCAGCGTCATCTGTGTGGTGCTGGTCACGGCCTTCAATGACTGGAGCAAGGAGAAGCAGTTCCGAGGTCTCCAGAGCCGCATTGAGCAGGAGCAGAAATTCACCGTCATTCGCAATGGGCAGCTTCTGCAGATCCCCGTGGCTACCCTGGTGGTGGGGGACATCGCGCAGGTCAAGTACGGTGAGTGTGCGCAGTGTGCGATCCCCTGGGCCCGGGGCCAGAGGAGGCGATGACCCGGGTCGCCCCATGATCCGCCTGCTGCAGGGGACCTGCTGCCGGCCGATGGCGTGCTTATCCAGGGCAACGACCTGAAGATCGACGAGAGCTCGCTGACTGGGGAGTCCGACCATGTGCGCAAGGCAGCTGACAAGGACCCCATGCTGCTCTCAGGTGAGGGGCAGTGAAACCCCGAAAGGGCCTGGGGGCAGCACAGTGTCTTCCTAGCTTAGCCTTTCCAGAATGTTCCAGCTCAGCCATGTGCGGGCCCGCAGGAAGATAGATGGAAAGGCCCAGCAGGATGTGATTTCAAATGCGGCCTCCGAGGGCCTCTGAGTGCGCCGTCCACACCCCTGGGCACTCCGGGAGAAATCCTGTAGATGCCAGCCGCAGTCTCCAACTTTCGGTGTTGCTGTGCCAGGCACTCACGTCATGGAAGGTTCTGGAAGAATGGTGGTGACTGCTGTTGGTGTGAACTCCCAGACAGGGATCATCTTCACTTTGCTCGGGGCCGGCGGAGAGGAGGAGGACAAGAAGGAGAAGAAAGGTTAGGCTGGACCTGCTCGCGGCTCCTGAGAGCCGGCCATCGCGATGGGGGGGGCCCTCTTTCAGGGTCGGTGCCCCTGGGGCGGGAGAAGTCATCCCAGCAGCCAAGAATAGGTGGAGCCTGGAGCCAGATGAGGGGGACTCCTGGGCGTGCGGAACTGGACTCCCTCAAGGATGTCCGAGCCTCAGCGGGGATGGGGCGCTGCTTGACCGGGACATCAGGCTGGCCACAGAGCCAGAGCACACTGGGAGGGTGCGGGGCGCCCCAGGTCAGTGAGAGATGACAGGGGACCCCTGTCTTGGGTAGTCTGGGTCTGGGAACTGTGCCAGCCGCCCCAGACCCCCTGCTGCACCTTGGCCACACCATCCCCCTCTCCTGCAGGACTCGGCCCACAGGAGGGCGAGGGGTGGGTAGGCGAACCCCGGCCCCCTCCCCCCGGAAGTCCGGCTGATCTGGCCGCGCGGCCCTCCACCGACACCCCGACGGCCGGTTAGCAGGGGACCCTCCAGGCTCGCTCCTGGGGTTGCGGGACACCTTTGTGGACTCACCCCCTTCCCTTAAGTCAGGCCCAGCCCAACTGCCCCCAGGCCCCTCCTCCCAGCTCCCCGTCCCCTCCCTTGCTCAGCGGGCCTTGGGAGGGTTTGTAAAGGGGTGCCCATCTCTGCACCAGGTCCTGTGCCCCCACTCTCCCTCTGTGTCCTGCCCCCTCCCCACCCTCTTGCCTGCTGGCTTTGACCCTGAGTCTCCCTTCAGCCCGGGGCACCCTCCTTCCCCTCTTCCCGTCCTGCTGAGCCGGCCCCTCCACCCTCTCTCCGGGGCCCCCGGGCCCGTGCCTTTTCTCTGTGCTGTCCCACCCCTCCCCTCTGGCTGTCTCCACCCTGCACCCCACTCGGCACCCCCACGGGGGCCCCAGAGCAGACGGCGCTGCCCGGAGCTGCCTCCTTCTGTTCCTGGGGCCCAGTGGCCCATGCTGCTGCGGGGTGGCGGCAGATCTGGCTGTGGATCCGCCAGCAGACGTGGCCCCCCGGACAACACATCAAAGCGCTGTGCCACCTGCTGCTTCCTGGCCCAGAGTCCTGTGCCGGCGGACTCGGGGGCCCTCAGAAACCGGAAGCAAGAGCAGCCGTACCTTCTGGGAGCACCTTCATCCTCCGTTGGGGTTCCCCAACGGACAGGCCTGGGTCCCTGCCTCCCACCGCGCTGCACGCATGCCTGAGTTTGTCCCCAGAGCTCCCGTAGCCCAAGTGCCTTGCCTCTGCCCTCTGGCCACCCCCTGCTGCCTCCTGCTGCCGCATCCCTAGCCCCCCCCAGTGCTGACTCTGGAGGGAGGACCCTGCAAACCATGTTGCTGGGAGCAGACAGCTGGCGACTCCCCTTCCAGACACAGGGTGTACCCGCGAGCCCTCCACACTGCTCCATGCCCATGGGTGTCCTTATGTCTCTGTGTCTGTTGCCCCTCTTCCATTGTAGGCAAGCAGCAGGATGGGGCCGTGGACAGTGGCCAGAGCAAAGGTAATGGTCCGTGCATGGGGGGGCGGGGGTAGGGGTGCCACAAGGAGCAGCTCTTAGCTAGCAGGTGAGTGGGGCCGTCTCCCCTGGGGCACACCGGGGAAGCTGGGCCCAGCGTGGGGCGGGGGGTGGAACAAAGCGAAAGCTGTGGGTGGGAGGTCACTTCCAGGCCCTGGGAGTGTGGGCCATTAACGCTCTCTCTCGTCCAGAGTCCTGGACCTGGGCAGTCACGTGTACCACAGGGGACCCAGGGCCACCAGGGCAGGCGGCATTACTGGGTGGGAGGGGCCAGAGGGACAGGGCAGCCGAGCGACTGGCAACCAGGCTGTCCCTTTCTCTCTTGGGTGGGGATGGACAGGACCTCGTGGGCCAGTGCTGCCGGACAGAGAGTGTGTGAGGTGACAGAGGTGACAAAGGCAGCAGGAGTTTGGGGAGGAGAGTGGCCCAAGGTGTGGCCTTAGGGGGGCGTCAGGGCACGTGGGGCTCGGGGGAGAGTGCTGGACACCCTTCGCTCACTGAGTGTGCTCTGGGTAATTGAACAGTCTCGGGTTCAGGGCGACCCCGCATCTGTGTGCCTCTGCCTGTCCTTCCCCTGGACGCCCCCGGGACCGTGCGGGCTAGTCCTGGCATCTCTGGAGGGCTTGGGCTTGCGACAGAGGGGGGAGATGCTGCCACCCTGCACACACGCCGTGCCTCCTGTGTGTGCAGCCAAGAAGCAGGCGGGCGCGGCCGCCATGGAGATGCAGCCCCTGAAGAGTGCGGAGGGCGGCGAGCTGGAGGAGCGGGAGAAGAAGAAGGCCAGCGCGCCCCGGAAGGAGAAGTCCGTGCTGCAGGGCAAGCTCACCAAGCTGGCCGTGCAGATCGGAAAAGCAGGTGGGCACAGCGCCGATCGGGGACTGCTCTCTGGGCTGTCCCCCTCCCACGGCCCTGACCGCGTCTGTCCCTCCTGCCCGGTGTGCAGGGCTGGTGATGTCGGCCATCACTGTCATCATCCTGGTCCTGTACTTCGTCATCAAGACCTTCGTCTTCGAGGGCCGGGTGTGGCTGGCGGAGTGCACCCCTGTTTACGTGCAGTACTTCGTGAAGTTCTTCATCATCGGGGTCACTGTGCTGGTGGTGGCTGTTCCCGAGGGCTTGCCGCTAGCGGTCACCATATCCTTAGCGTATTCTGTCAAGGTACCAGCAGTGCACCCAGCGCCTAGGGGGGCATGGAGCCAGGAACGGGCTGGGAAAAAAACCTGGGTTCCAGCAGGGGAGGGCTCATCGGTACCCCGGGAACAGCAGCATGAGCACAAGAATTCGGGGGACACCAGGGGCAGGAAAGGCGGAGACGGATGGAGGCCAGGGATGCTGGAGGCAGAGGAGCGAGGAGGGGGCCGCAGGGAGCATGTCCAGTCTGCCCCTCCACAGCTTGCAGGAGTCCAGATACCACACACAGCCACCACCGGGTCCCCAGTGGCTCCTCAGCCCCCTTCCAGGAACCCCTCTGTGCCCCTCACAGAAAATGATGAAGGACAACAACCTGGTCCGGCACCTGGACGCCTGTGAGACCATGGGCAACGCCACAGCCATCTGCTCCGACAAGACAGGCACGCTCACCACCAACCGCATGACCGTGGTCCAGGCCTATCTCGGGGACACCCACTACAAAGAGGTCCCGGCACCCAGCGCCCTGAACCCCAATATTCTCGAGCTCCTGGTCCACGCTATCTCCATCAACAGTGCCTACACCACGAAAATCCTAGTGAGCAGGGCGCGTGGCCCCGGGCTGGTGCGGGGCTGCCCCGCGGGGCTCTCGGAACTAGTGAGGAGGCTCATGGGCCCCTCACGTGAGTGGCCCCTGAGGAGTACTGTGCACTGAGCACTGCTGGGAGCACTCCTAAGTAGCCCCTGGGCACATCCCAGGGTCAGTGCTAAGGGGAGCCCCTTGTGAAAGAAAGAAGTCTGGGGGCTGGACAAAGAGCAAAGGGACTAAGGCACTGCTGCCTCCTCCAAACCCTGCCAGGAACGATCCCTGAGCACGGAGCCAGGAGTCAGCCCTGAGCACTTCCAAACCAAAATAGAGAAAGAAATATTTTAAAAAACTGTTAAACAGAACCTGACTAGATTCCAGGGTGCGGACCAGTTGGTTGTGGATGATCTGTTCGAGCCCCGGGGCGTGGGGGGAAGCCGCCATGTGCCATGGGGAGCCCCTCGCAGCACTGCTTCTCGTCCCCAGCCTCCAGAGAAGGAAGGTGGCCTCCCGCGCCAGGTGGGCAACAAGACCGAGTGTGCCCTGCTGGGCTTCGTCCTCGACCTGCAGTGTGACTCCCAGCCCGTGCGGGAGCAGATGCCCGAAGACAAGCTGTACAAGGTGTATACCTTCAACTCGGTGCGCAAGTCCATGAGCACCGTCATCCGCACGCCCCGGGGCGGCTTCCGCCTCTTCAGCAAGGGCGCCTCGGAGATCCTGCTGAAAAAGTTAGTGTCAGCATCCCCGCCCATCGCCACCCCCCACATCCCAGACATTGGTATCATCCTCCCCCACCCCTCTCCCCGGCCCCTGGTAATACGAGTGCTTCCAGTCCGGCTTTGCCACTTCCAGACTTTTCCTAGCCATGAGTGCACACAGGGCCGAGTGGACTCAGTTCCCAGGGCGAGTTTGTGGGTCACCCAGCTGGTGGGCCTTTTCCTGACTGCATAATATTCCATGCCAAGGCCAGCCCTGTTGACCATCCTTTCTTGGGACAGTGCCACTCTGCTGTCAGGAACCCGAGGTGATGAGAAACACATCTCTGAACTCAGAGCACTTATCAGTGCTCACAGCCACAGTTTACAAGGGAAGAGGTTGGGGTATGCGGGGCAACACATGTGGCTTTGGGAGAGCGAGGCTGTCTCGGGGAGGTGCAGCCCCATTCTACATTACTCGCCTGTGTCACTTGCTGCTTGCCGCCATCATTATCACAGTCATCCAGGCCCCTAAGGGAGATGTCACACTGCGGTTTCTATAGAGACCATACCCAGAGCTGCAAAGCCTGGTGACATCTAGGGGACGACCAGGAATACCCAGCATGCTCAGGGCCCCATGCAGTGCCAAGAGAGAGTCAGGTCCCCATACATGCCAGGCCAGTGCTCTGCCACTTACACATCTGACAGGCATTTATTGAGCCCCTCCACCCACACCCCATGCAGCCGGCTGGCCTCAGTAAGGGCGATGCACGTCCCCTGCCATCTTTTCAATTGTTTGTCTTGAGTTGGTTCTTGGGGTCCTCACCCACCAGCCAAGGTTGCCCACACCTCTCGGTGCTAAGGTGTACAGGGGGACCTGTTCTTCCTTGTGGGTTTCTGAACTGGTTGGACTTAATTACACCCCAGTAAAATAGCCAGGAGAGGCGGCCTGCCCATCCCCTAGTGCCCCAGCCCCCGGGTGCCTCTCTCCAGAGCTGCCTGCTGGGGGGCGAGCGGCAAGAGACCTTCCTCCCCAAGCCTTCTGCTGGGTCCCCATGGCTGGGCTTCTCTGATGTGCTCCCCCCAAAAAAGCCCAACTTCTATTGACTTTATTTTTAGGGGGCCACACTTGGCATTGCTCAGGGCTGACTCCTGGCTGTGTGCTCCGGGATCCCTCCTGGCAGGTTTGAAGGACCATAGGTAGTGCCAGGGATCAAACCTGACCTGGCCACATGCCAGGCAAACACCTTCACCTGCTGTCTCTCCAGACCCCCAAAGCCCAAATTCTGCAACTGGGCTCTGGGTCTCAGCCAGGCTCAACTCTTCTCTGCTGCAAGAACTGGAAGCAGTTTCTCCCTGCCCATGGTCCTCAGTTTCCCCTGTGCCGTAGCCACGGCCACGGTACACACCTTCATGCTCAGGGAGAGAGAGCTCCTGGGCATTCCCTCCCTGCCCTCTGCAGGCGGCCCCCTTCCCCATTTTTTGCTCCCTCCGCCCACCCAGCCCGCCTTCTGTGGCAATTTTGGGGCTCAGCAGAGCTGCACTAGCTTCTCCCAGGGATGCAAGGACCACTCCGTTCTCCAGAGGGTGCCTGACCCGTGCTCAGCACTGGTGCCTTTCAAGCCCAGAAATGCAAAGGGAAGGTGCTTCAGGATGTCGTTTCTGCCCTGGGCAGCCCTGTCCTTGATGGTCGCCAGCTGCCAGGTGTGTGATCTGCTCTGCACGAAGATGCCAGTCAGGGCCTTGAGGGCCACTTCCACGCTATCACCTCATCTTCACTTGGTAGCCACCTAACTTGCGAACCAGGTCACACACCGAGGTGCTGGGAAGAGCAGAAAACGGGGGTCCACTCACAGGCCACAACAAGCAGAACGCCTCTACCCCCACAGAAAGCCCTCTGCCTCTTGCAGGGCAGTGCGGTTCCCCCTGGGCTCAGGGACCCCTCTCTGGCCCGGCTCCCCTGCAGGTGCACCAACATCTTAAACAGCAACGGGGAGTTGCGTGGCTTCCGGCCACGAGACCGGGAAGACATGGTGAAGAAGATCATTGAGCCCATGGCGTGTGATGGCCTGCGCACCATCTGCATCGCTTACCGGGACTTTGCGGCCACCCAGGAGCCAGACTGGGACAACGAGAACGAGGTGGTTGGCGAGCTCACCTGCATCGCCGTCGTAGGCATCGAAGACCCTGTGCGGCCCGAGGTCAGGCAGCGCTCCCTGCTCTGGGACTAGCAGCACCAGCCTGGGGGAGCCACTTGGGGTCCTAAACCAGACCCTATGCATAGCCCTGGCCCAGAGCTGGTGCCAGGCTCGTGGTGGCCACATGGTGGCAGCACCAAGGCACTCGGCGCCTCCCCTGCTCAGACGCCTGCACACCTGAGACTTGCAGAGCTGGAGAGTCAGTACACATTTTTAGGGGCTCGGGATCCAAGTCCCCAGTACCTGCGGCTGGAATCGGGGCCTGTGACTGGATCCTCATGGTGCCGCTCGTCTGCTCCTGCACACTCCCTCCCTCCGTAGTCCGAGGACCCTCAGCATGCCTGGACTCCCACGTGTATCAGCACCCCACCTGACTCCTGGCCCTCACTTCACCAGGCCCCGTTGTCCTGCTGGGGGCCCGGGCACAGAGCAGGAAGCTGGAACCCCTAGGGTGCACCATGCCTGAGCACTGAGCCTCCCTTCTCTCCCCTTCAGCCTCCCAGGCACTATCTGTCCCCACTGAGAGTGCACTTGGGGTGCAGTCACCCACCTCCTCTTGTTGGGGTGCTGTACCCATCTGGCAGTGGCTCTTAGATCTCTGGCACTGAGACCCAACCTTTCTAGAAGCCAAACGAGAGGTGAAGGTCTTGGGCCAAACTTCTGGTCCCAAGGAGGTATCCTCAGGGCCCCAGGATATCTGGTCCCAGCAGACACCCCACTCGGCACCTCTGAGTGTCCACTTGCTAGCTGGACATGAGCTGAAAGATCCGGGTGCTCCCAGGCCCCTTCTCTCAGCTAGGACGACATTAGGGCAGGAGCTGGGCCCTGAGAAGTGATGGAGATGCCCCTTCACTGCCCATTGGGCCTACTGTTCTGGCACACAGGCCTTCGTGAGGACCTTGCAGCCTTCTGGGGGTCCTTCACATGAATATTTCCCCCCACCCCTACGGCCCTGCTCTCGCCCCAACCACCCTTGGTCTCTCCCAGGTTCCGGAAGCGATCCGTAAATGTCAGCGTGCGGGCATCACGGTGCGCATGGTCACCGGCGACAACATCAACACGGCCCGGGCCATCGCCGCCAAGTGCGGCATCATCCACCCCGGAGAGGACTTCCTGTGCCTGGAGGGCAAGGAGTTCAACCGGCGCATCCGCAACGAGAAGGGCGAGGTACTGGCCGCCACCGCCCGGTGCCTGCAGCCCAACTGGCCTGCCGCTCCCCTCCTCTCACCCACGGCCCTGCTCTGCCCGCCCGCCCTGCCACCCGCCCGAGGACCACCCCCCACCGCTGCCCAGCTGCCCCCGCCCGCTGCGCACCCTCGCACCGCCCCCCTCCCCGCTCCCACACTCACGGCTGCTAGCCCTCCCTCTGGCCGGCTGCCACCTTCCTGGGGCTCCGAGCTGCTTGCTCTTCCTTCTCAGATCGAACAGGAGCGTCTGGATAAGGTGTGGCCCAAGCTGAGGGTCCTGGCCCGATCGTCCCCCACCGACAAGCACACTCTGGTCAAAGGTAATGGAACCTCAGGCCTGTGCACAGTGCAGCAGAGGGCTGGGGCCTACCCCAGACTCAAGGGCCTCTGCTCATGACCAGCTGCTGCCACAGACTGTTCCCTTCCTATGCCTCGGTTTTTCCAACAGGAAAATGGGTGTCGTGGAGACCCACTCACAGGCCAACATGCCAGGCCAGGCTTCCCTGATAACAAATTTTTGGCATTGCTTGGTAGAGGCTGTGGTCTCCTCCGAGCAGAAACCTGAGCCCCACCCAGCGCACTCCTGGGCCCAGGGCCTCCAACCAAAGCCCACCTGTGTGGAAGCTCTAGGGTGGCGGTGGGTAGAGGGGCCAGGGTTGCCCCCAGTAGTGCCCCACCCAGCCACAGGGCAACTGGCAGCCCCACTCTGTGCCCCAGGCATCATCGACAGCACCAGTGGTGACCAGCGACAAGTGGTGGCCGTAACCGGGGATGGCACGAATGATGGGCCTGCCCTCAAGAAGGCAGACGTGGGCTTCGCCATGGTAAGAGGCACGGGGAGTTACATGCCTGTCAGCCAAGTACCTTCCTGTCCAGGGCTCCCTTCCTGGGCTCTGCCAGGCAGTCCAAGATGCTCAGAGGCTGAGAGAGGACTGAGCACTCAGCTCATGCTGACGCCCTGGGTTCGCTCCTGGCACTGCCAAAAATCGAAACCAAACACAGGGGTTGGAGCAGTAGGACAGGGTATGGCAGTTGCCTGGCATGTAGCCGACCCTGCTTTGATACCTGGCACCACAGAGTCCCCTGATAACCACGAGGAGTCATTCCTGAATACAGAACCAGGAGTAAGTCCTGAGCACCAGTGAGTGTGGTCCCCAAATCCAAAAGATATTTGGGATGTCATTGGGGCTGGTCCTTTTGCGGTTGCCTCACCTCGTCCTACTGCAGTTGAAGTATTGAGACCCCGAGTGGGATGGGTGATGCCCCATATCACCTTCCGGCTGGTTCTGCTGCGCACGAAAGTGGTTCTTGGTCGTCTTGGGTAATTGCTCTGGGCCATTACTGGACGGGTGGGAGTGGGGATATTCCAGGGATCAAACTCACGGCCTTGCCCACGCCGAGCATGTGCTCCATGACTTGAGTCATGTCCCTGACCACCACGGAACTGGTTTTGCTGCCCAGTCCTGGCACTCTGCAGGGCGCTGTGCTCGGCTGCTGAAAGGGGGAACTCCGCCTGCCCTGCTCCCCACTGACTGAAATGGGGTGCCTTTCACTCGTTTAATGAAGCCAGTCCTTTCCAGAACCAGACACAGTGGGGTAGGGAGGAGCTGCAGAGAGCAAAACTAGGGTGCTCCAAACCCAGGGCTGCGGCCAGGCAGTGGCCATGGGGCATGGGTGGGTCTTTGTCACAAAGCCCCCTCCCTTTGACAGCAGACAGGAGTGGAGAGTGTGGCTAAGACTGGACTGGAGGGGTGGCAGGGCACCAGGGAAGGGGTCCCCAGGCATGTGTGTATCCCCCAGGGCATCGCGGGCACCGACGTGGCCAAGGAGGCCTCGGACATCATTCTCACCGATGACAACTTCAGCAGCATCGTCAAAGCAGTGATGTGGGGCCGCAATGTCTACGACAGCATCTCCAAGTTCCTGCAGTTCCAGCTGACGGTCAACGTGGTGGCTGTGATCGTGGCCTTCACAGGCGCCTGCATCACGCAGGTGGGCGCGGTGGCCTCCATGAGGTCAACCCCCAATTTGGAGTGAGTGGGAAGCTCTGGGGGGAGCCCAGAGCTGGGGCTGAGGGGCCCTCCCGAGGGCCAGGACGAGAGCGGGGTGTCCACTCTGCATGTCCCCCACCCTTGCAAGAGCGCCATCAGTGCACGGCCTCACCTGAGTTCCAGTGCATTTCCATCTTCCCAACTGGAGACCCAGCCCCAGCCCCGCCTCCGAAGCAGCAGATCTGATCCGCATCGGGTGCGCACTCCTGCATGGTGTTGGAGACAGTCGCCCCCAGGGTGCTTGGGTTCCTGGGGGTGACCCTGGCCACGTGTGCCCCGCGGCTGGCCGGCCCCGTTCAGACAGCACGGGCTCCACACCCTGCAGGACTCGCCTCTCAAAGCCGTGCAGATGCTGTGGGTGAACCTCATCATGGACACATTTGCCTCACTGGCCCTGGCCACAGAGCCACCCACCGAGGCGCTGCTGCTGCGGAAGCCATATGGGCGGGACCAGCCGCTCATCTCCCGCACCATGATGAAGAACATTGTGGGCCACGCTGCCTACCAGCTCACCATCATCTTCACGCTGCTCTTCGTGGGTACGTCCCAGGCAGCGGCCTCAGGAGCCCAACCCTGCGAGGACCCCGCCTGCCCTCCCTCCCCAAGGCCCTCTCTCTGTGTGTCTGCAGCCCCATCCATGGAGTTACACCCCACATTTCTCCAGGAGACACTGAGCACAGTGCTCAGCCGGAAGTGGGGGGACAGAGAAGGGGCAAAGGGAAGGCAGAGAAGAGGGGCTGGGGGAGGCCAGTGAGCGGGCCCTTTGCTCCTGGAGAGCCTTCTGTGTCCTGCCTGGCCTCTGAGGACTGTTCTTTGATGCTGGGCATCTGAGTTGCAGGTATGTGGGTCTGTGGCCCCTGTTGTGGGCACCCCTGGATCGCAGGAGGCACGGGGGTGCCATTGCCTGCCAGCCACTGGGATTGCTGCCCCAGCCAGGCCACTCAGGGGCCCAGAGCCTGCTGACCTCCTTGCTTTCCCCACCCTCGGACTGGGGGCACTGGTGGCAGCCTGGCGAGATGGTGGCTGCGGCCTGATGCCCCGGGCTTGCAGGGGAGCTGTTCTTTGACATCGACAGCGGGAGGAACGCGCCGCTGCATTCGCCGCCATCCGAGCATTACACCATCATCTTCAACACGTTCGTGCTGATGCAGCTCTTCAACGAGATCAATGCGCGCAAGATCCACGGCGAGCGCAACGTCTTCCGTGGCGTCTTCAGCAACCCCATCTTCTGCGGCATCGTGCTGGGCACCTTTGCTATCCAGGTGGGCCACCCATGCTCCCGAAGCTTCTCTGGAAACTCCCCATTACCGTGCTTCCCGGTTCCTCTCAGTCCCCCGAGGGGGGCTGCCAGGACATGGGGTACCGAGAAGCACATGGCAGGTGGCGTTGGAGACGGGGGGGCTTCAGTGAGGTCTTCCAGGCAGGCCGAGGGCGTGCGAGGTTGGCGAGTTCCAGGGCTAGGGATAGTGGCCTGGAGGTCGGGTGCACTGAGCCGAGGAGAAGGGGCTCAGGCTGTGGGTCCTTCCCCTCCCCCCCCCACAGATCATCATCGTCCAGTTTGGCGGGAAGCCTTTCAGCTGCTCCCCGCTGTCCACGGAGCAGTGGCTCTGGTGTCTGTTCGTTGGTATTGGGGAGCTGCTCTGGGGTCAGGTGAGTGTTGGCCTTATGACAGCTCTGGGGACATGCCAGGTACAAGGCTCCGACTGACAGTTGTCACCCCCACCCTGGTCGCCACATGGAGTCCCTGTGCTCTCATGGTGCCCATGCACAGCTCTTTGAGTTGTGACATCAGTGCCAGAGCCAGCTCAAGCCATGTGGGCAGGATGAAGCCTCCATCCTTTTTTGTCTCCACTGAGGTCCCCTTGGATGTCCTGCTCCGGAACCATCAATAACTCATCACCCCTTTCTGCCACTTCCGTTGTATCCTTCTAGATCATTCCACCCCAGCCTGCACTGAACTGCCCCCAGTCAGAATCCACCAATATTCCATCTTCCCGCTGAGGCACAGCCATGAGCTGTCTGTGGTCACCTGCTGGGCCTCAGCCTGCTTGATCCTTGACTATCTTCACAGCCATGTCTGTCTTGGTCCCTGCTTGGCTGTTTCTCCTCCAGCTGTCTCCCTCCCATCGTTACTTCTTCTTGCCTCCCAGGCCACAATATGTGGCCCTTGGCTAGGCCAGGCTACTAATGAACCACTCATGTTCTGACTGCCCCCTGCTGGCCGCTGCCGGACTCCCACTGTCTCTTTCCTTGGCTCCCCCTATGGGCTCCATGGCTTATCCCCAACTCCCAAGGTGCTTTGCTCCGAGTTCCCTCTGGTGCTTCGGGAATTTAGCCATGACTCTGGAGACATCCTCCTGTCCTTCCCTCCCAATCACTCCCATCTTGCTCTGTCCCTGAATGTCCTCTGGAAGCTTCCTTCTTCCAGGCACCTGGGATAGCACGTGTGCTGTCACCTCTCCTCCTGTCCTATGCTGACAGCAGGCTGCACAGCACAGCCCTCAGCCAGCCGGCCACAGCCCTGCCTCTGCTAACGGGCATCGGCGGCCCAGCGCAGCCAGGCCAGGCTTTGCCCACGAACCCTCCAGGGCTGCGACCCGCTGCCCGTGAGCCAGGTGGCCTCAGACTGCACCAGACGGAACTTCGGGGGCTGCCCTAGGAAAAGGGCCTTGTGGGAATGGGACATACAGATCCACCTTCCCTTCCAGCTCATCACCGCATTGCCGTAGGTGCACCCTGTCACCCACCGAGTTCAGCCTCGCCTGGCCGCTTCCTGTGTGTAGCAATAAAGTATCTTTGACGATAGTTTGTGCGTTGTTTCCGGGTGCCCTGGGCCACTGACACTCTCCAGACGTCAGGCCCTCGCCTACGGGTCAGCTCATGTGCCCGATACTGGCAGTGGGGGGCCTGAGAACCGACGTGGAATGACCGTGCAAACCCCTCTCTTCTGTGCGAAGGATTGCAGGTCTACAAGGCAACTTCCTCTGTCTGGCCCCTGTTTGGCCCATTGCTCCCTTTCCAAACTCAGCCTTGAGGCCCTGGAAATCCCCCTTCTTTGAGCCAACAAGCAGAACGTGTCCCCCAACTTTTATCCAAGGCGGATCCCACCACCCCACTTCACCCTCCATTATCCAGCCTCCCCCCTGCTCCCTCCAGACAATGTCATGAAGACCTTTCTAGACTCACTGCAAATTACTGTACTCAGACTTGCAGTTTGGGACAGCCAAACAAGGGTTGTATGTATTTTGATTTGGTTTCAGGGCCATACCTGGTGCTTCCTCCTGGCTCTGTGCTCAGGGGTCACTCCTGGTGGGGGTTCGGGGACCATATGGGATACCAGGAATTGAACTGGGGTTCGCTTTATGCAAGGCAAGCACACTGCAGGCTGTGCTATTGGTCTGGGGGAATCGGGCTGGGGAGTGGCCGAAGGAAGGGCAGGATCTAGGCGGCTGCCCCAGTCACACTCATCCCTGTTGGTGACACCATCCGCAGCCCTCAGATTAAGGGCTATGGAAGCTCGCCCCCCCCCAATTCATTTGTCCACCAAGAGTGCTCCTAGGCTAGGCATGTCCTGCACACCATCTGGGTCCTGCAAACCCACATCGTCACTGCCCAGGGCCCATGCAGTCCCTGAAACACAGAGAGGAATGGCCACTGCGTCCTGTGTGTCAGCACCTAGGGACCATGGCCATGGCGAGCAGCGGGGGTGCGTCTGTCCTGACTCTGCCCACATCCTGTGCCCATGCCCAGGTCATTGCCACCATCCCCAGCAGCCAGCTCAAGTGCCTGAAGGAAGCGGGGCATGGGCCAGGCAAGGACGACATGCTGGATGAGGAGCTGGCAGAGGGTGAGGAGGAGATTGACCATGCCGAGCGCGAGCTGCGCAGAGGCCAGATCCTCTGGTTCCGGGGCCTCAACCGCATCCAGACGCAGGTAGGCTGCCTACAGGGAGACACCCCAATCCCCACCCCCACCCCTCACGGGGAGGTGCCTCTGAGCAGGAGCAGCAGAGGGTCGGGCGCAGGGACCCTCTGCTGGCCTCCTCCTGCTGGGCCGCCTGCCCTAGCGGCAGGAAGTGCCCTCGGGGCTCCTTGCCCATCTCTACTGGCTCTGGTGAGCTCCCGATCATGGGGTGCTCCAGTGGGTTCTGTGGCAAGATTTTGCTTGGGAAGTGGATTCAAGCGCTAGGGGCTGTCCTTCCTGCCATCTAAACCTCTGGCTTCCGGCCGTGCAGCCAGGGGCCACGGACCCCCGCCAGAGCACCTCCTGGCTTCACTCTCCGCCCCCAATTCTTCTCAGCCCACTGCCTTGCCAGAACATTCCATCCTCGCTCTCTGTCTGCCTCTGGGCCTGTCCTGTTCGCTGCTAGGCTGGGCCAACCCCGCACGTCCCTCCGCTTCCTCACGTGCGGGCGGCTCTGCTGTTCCCTCTCGGCTCACGGCCTGCGGCTCCCCTTTGCTTGCCTGGCGTCCTGCCCTCCCTCCACACCCTTTCTGCTCTGCTAAAGAGCCCACAGAGCCCAGGGTGCCGGGTCTAGCCGGGCAGGGGAGCCGGTAAAGGCCATCAGCTTCCAGTCCCTCCATCCTTCCCACCTCCTGCACCTGACCAGGAGCCCCGACTCCTGCGCCGTCACTGTCCCAACAGCAGCTGGGAGCCAGCCCAGGCCGTTCCCGATGTCCCTATGCACCTGACACAGCGGCATGCCCACATGGGCTCCCCTCACAAACCCATCCAGGTGCCGGCTGCCTCAGCTCGCTGCTGCCCCCTGCAGCCTGCCCGTAGTATGGCTCGGCTCAGGACCAGCCTTGATTCTTTCTCCCCTGGGGTATGCAGCCAGGGATTTAGGACGCCCCTGAGACCTCCCCAGGCACAGCGCCAGGCACAGCCCCCATGTTCCCACCTACACCAGAAGCCTTTGTCCAGTTCGGTCCCTTGAGGTGCTCATGCCACCTGTCTCCGTGCAGAAGGAGCAGTCCTGGTCCCTGGCAGCTGAGACCCACACCCCAAGTCTGTGCTCTTAGCCTCAGGTGGAGCAGGAAGACCAGGGACACTCCCAAGCCGCAGCACCCCACGAGGAGCTTGGGGTCCCATCAGGCTGGCCCCAGAAAACTAAAGTTTGTCTTTTGTTACTCCTCTTGGAAGGCGGGGGGGGGGGGCAGTGCTTTATCCCTCTGCTGGCCTCTTTGCTTCCAGGGGTGCACCCCAAGGTGGAGGGAGCTGTTCTAGTGCCCCTGCCCACCTCTGGTGATGGGGCACCCCTGTGTGCTCACAGGGACACTGGATTTCCCACCACTTCCACTGCTCACATAGATGCGAGAACCTGGGGCCCACCCCCCACGCCCACCCAGGGCTCACACGTCCTCTCTGAATGCCCCATCTCTGGGACAGTGACCATGTCCCATTGGCTTCACAACAAAAGTCAGGAACACTGAACGTGTCTGAACGCGAGGTTTTTCTGAGCATCTGTTCCTTTCCAATCAAAAGACAGACTTGAAAAGGGCAAATAAAGCCCCCAAAGGCTCCCACATGATCTGTGCGCCCTGCCCCCATCTAAAGAAATGGTTTCTAGGCAGCGCCCTAGACTTCTAGCTCCTCAGACCAGCACCTAGTCCCCTGGGTCATAGACGCCGCCAATGGGGTGCCTGTGGAGGCAACCCAGCCCTACAAACCACTACCCAGTTCATCACTGCCGCCCGCGCTGTCGCCAAACCCGCTGCGCAGCTCTTCCATCCGTACGGCTTCGGCCACTGGGCTTGGGGGGCATCTGGGGAGGGGGTGACAGGCGTTGTATGCGGGTGTCCCTCGAGGCCAGGAAAGCTCTTCCCTTCCTTTGTCACCCACAAGCTGGAGGATGTCCATCTGGGACATCATGGGCCGGGCCACCCCTGTAACGTGGCAGAGCTCAGGCGAGGTGTGGGGGCTGAAAGTGGCTGGAGCTGACCTGGCGATGCCGTCCATCTTCATCTTGGGTTGGGGGCTGAACACGCTGAGAAGCCAGGCCCCAGCAGGAACAGCACATGGCTCCTGCTTTCTACCGAGAGCCCCGTGAGCAGTAGTGCCTTCTTAGCTGAAACCCCAAAGAGGGCCACTGGCTCCCACAGCAGGCGGCCACCAGTCTCTGCCCAGTTCTTTGGGTCTGATTCATCCCCCTATCCCGGCCTCTTATGCCAATGGTGGCCTCAGGAGGTGTTTGGGGCTCTCTCCGCGTTCTTGTCTTCTGAAGACCCACTTCCCCTTTGACCCCCTTCAAATGGGATGGGGGTCCCAAAAGCCAGGCCAGAGAGTCAGTACAGAGGTCAAGGCCAAGCCCGATTCCATCTCAGCACTGCATTTGGGTCCCTAAGCACCTCCAGGAGTGATCTCGAGCACAGAATTAGGAGTAAGTCCTGACCATTGCCAGGTATGGCATGAAATACAGAGAGAGAGAGAGAAAGAGAGAGAGAGATGGAGGGAGGGAGGGAGGGAGGGAGAGAGGGAGGGAGGGAAGGAGGACAGGGGATGACATGCTTGCCTTGCATGCAGCTGAACCCCGTTTGATCCCCGGCATCCCATATGGTCCCCTGAGCACAAAGCCCCAAGGGCCGCTGCGTGTGGCCCATAAGGCAAGAATCAAGAATGTGCCGCCCCTGTCCCCCACAGGGCTGTGGGAGGTGCTTTGGGGGACCCCCTCCCACTCGCTGAGGAGTCTCACGAGCTGCACCGGGATGAGCTGGGAAGGGGGACCACCAAGGAGCAGAGTCTCCATCCCTCTCTCTAACGGGGGTGTGTCCTGTCCCTCAGGCGTGCCAGGGCAGCCAACAGGTTGACCAGTCCTGACCCGACTCAGGTATTTGTCTGAGTGGCCCGCCAGGGGCCACACCGCGCAGGGCAGTGCGGGGCATTGCTAACGGTGTGCTGTGTGCCCCAGCTAACCCCTGCTGCCGCCCTCGACGGCCATGCCCAGCCCCACGCTGCCCAGAGAGCGTCGGGGTGGCCCGAGGCTGCTGGCGCTGACCCAGTATGGCCCCTCGAGGGGACAACTGTGCAAGCCAACCTTTATCTCATTTTCTCTCCCACAGATGGAGGTAGTGAGTACCTTCAAGAGAAGCGGTTCATTTCAGGGCGCTGTGCGCCGCCGGTCCTCGGTCCTCAGCCAGCTCCATGACGTAACCAATCTTTCTAGCCCTCCTCCCGTAACTCTCTCTGCTGCCAATCCCACCAGTGCCGCTGGCAGTGAGTCTTGACTTCCCTTTGCTCTTAAATGGCCTCTGGGGGGGGAGAGTCGCCCCCGCCCGAATCTTCCTTCTCTTTTTTCCAGTCTCGCTCCCTCCGCTCGCTCGTGGCCCCGCGCAGCCCCCTCCCAGACGGTGTGTCTCTCCAAAGCCATAGTCTCCGATGAAATGTTGCCCCTCGCCAGCGCGGCTCCCATCCTGCTCTCTATCCCGTGTCGTGCTCACTGAGCACGCCTGTCGCTGGGCTTCTTTCCTTCACCTTGTGTGCCGTTCCAAGGGTTCTTCCGGTGCTACCTGGGGCCGGGACCGGGTGTGTGCAGGGGGGCAGCAGGGTGTGCGTGGGTCCAGGGCGCCTTCCGTGGGCAGAAGGGGAGGCAGGTGCCTGATCTACATCCTTTGCAGCAGAGAAACGCGGCCGCCGTCCACTGGGGGATTCCAGCAGCTTCCAGAACTTGCCCCGAGGTGGTTCCCAAAGGCAGCGGGTCCCCAGGGTGGCTGTTGCCCCAAGACAGGGCGTTAGAGGGGACCCATCCTCCCGAGCTGAACGCAGGGCACGGTGCATGTCCCCTGGGACCCCTGCTGGCACGGCGCCACTTCGTCTGCTCTTTCCAAACAGGCCTCGGGACCGAAGGTCTGCTCCTGACCTGCCCCACAACGCTTTCTCCTTCTCCAAGAAGTGGGGCAGGGACTGGCCCCTCTGCCCCGAGTTGGGAGCAAAGTGACTTTGGCAAGAAAGCCTGGGGGCTGTCCCAGAGATCTAGAAGCTTCCCTACTGCCCCCTCCCCACCTGTTCACGAAGACAAGGGGGAAGTTGTAGGCTGCCAGAGAGCACACGGACAGCTGCCCCCGGCCCCGCTTCTGCCTCTTTCCTTTCCTTTCAGTGAGCTGGCAGCTCCCATCTCCGAGAAGGCCCCGCCCCGGACTCTGCCAAGTGCTTTTTGCGTGATTTCTTCTTCCCCCTTTTTTCTTTCATCTTGTCTTCTTATTCGTCGTCTTCTTGTTTGTTTGGTTTTTTTTTAGGAACTGGTGAGAGGTCCCCGGTAGGGCGTGCCCCTCCCTCTTGGTTTAAGCGGTCCTTTAGGGAAGGGGTGAGGGTGCCGTGTCCCCTGCGCCTTCACCCCAGGCCATTCCCCGACCAGCCCACCGTATACTCAACGGGGGTCCCTCAGCTTTGGGTCACAGCACCGCAGAGGCCTGCAGGAGGTCCCAGTCAAGAATGTCCCAAGCACCCACCCCCACGAACAAAGAACAATGAGGGACGAGGATCCATCCCTCTCCTTTTCTTTGCCATCTGTCTCTCTGCGCTTCCTGTCTGTCTGTCTCTCCATCTGACCATCCAGTGACTTGGGGAGAAGGTGGCTGACACAGCCCCCACTCTGCCTGGCCCCCAGCTCTGATGCGTCCCGCCCAGGACCAGCGAGGGTCTTGTTGGCTACGTTCTTCCCCCACACCCCCTATGTCCCACCCTGGGAAGCCTCTCTCTCCTTCCTCGGCTCCTAGCCATCTGTCCCTGCACCTCCAGGAGCACGTGGTGCGGTAAGTACCGGGGCACATGTCCCGATCCTCGCCAGGACCCAGCCGTGAAACCAGGGTTCCCAGGGAGTAGCCACTCCGAGCTGCGAGAACCCTGAGCAAGCCACTGGCGCCCCCATCCACAGCGGACAAATTGAGGAGGCCTGGCGGCTGAGTTGGGGCTGGCCCCTGGCCTGCACCCTGCAGGGAGAAGGTCAGGGCAGAGTGCCCAGCATTGTGCAGAAGCAGCCGGAAACGGAAGCGCCATGACCACTTGATACTGCCCTAGGTGAAAGCCTTGTGTGCCCAGGAGCTGGAGAGCCAGTGCTCCTCGTTCCACGTGTCCCGCTGAGAACTTCACTCTCTAGGCCAGAGACCCACAAAGCATCAATGCTAGGAGCAGTGGCACAGCGACATTGGATGCTGGGGAGGACGGAGCCCAGCAGGCAGCGTGACACAGTGCTCCCTGGGGCTCCACGGGCCACATGTGTGCCTGCCCCACCTTTCCTGGTGACTCTGAACCCCCAGGCCTCCTCTGCCATGTCCACCCACATGCCGTTGCCATTTTCACCACTGTGCCCAGTCTCGGGCTCTCCTCCATCACTCAGCCTGGTCCCCTCCCCTGGTCCCCACCTAACTTTCTGGGGTTGGGGTGATGAGAAGTCCCGCCCCCGGCCGGGTGTGTGGCAGCCACCCTGGTTCCGAACTGACCACATACACAAAAATTGCGAACTCAGCATCCCTCCTCCCAGCGGGGTGTCAGGACCCCAAGATGCAACCAGCCACGGGTTTCTGCTCAATTTACCTGTATGCAGTGGGCAGCGGCCGAGATGCTGGCCAAAGGGATGGCACAGGTGGGGTGGGGTGGGGTGGGGGATCTTCACTGGCAATGCGAAGTCCTTGCATCCACCGTGGCCCTGTGGGTGGTGCTGCTGCTCCGGCCTTTCAGCCTGTGGTGGGCGAGGCGCCTTTCTCGGTTCTCAGCGGCACTGGCCATTTGGCTGGACTCTGACTGTGCACACACTCGGACAGCGGCCACAGGCCTGGCCCTGAAGTAGAAGCAGGATGCCTCAGGGGCACCCGCAGCCTGGAGGGGAGCCCAGGCCTTGGGTGGGATCACCGCACCCAGATCCTCTTTAGTCTCAGTGCACCAAAAGGCTGAGTCCCACCATGTCCCACCGCACACAACAGATCTGTCAGTCACGGCCGCCAACCAGTCCCATGATAACAGGGACCCTTGTTCACTGCCCCATGTTTCAGGCACCCTGGGGCCCTTGGAAACACCTCTTCATGTCCCTTTCAGATCAGGAGTCATACCCAAGGGTCTCCTGGGTCGCTGTGTTGAGAACGTGTTAGAGCTTCTGGGCTGGGGTTGGGGCGAGGCCGGAGGCTGTGGAGCTCCGAGGGGGGCAGGAGGGGCTGACTGCCTTGGAGTTATGAATCTGCGGGGAGATGAGGGTGCAGGGAGGACTTGGTAGGGGGCTGGCCGCGGGGTGTTCTGGAGACTTCGCTTTGTTCGCTCTGCTCTACTTGCCTGCACTCTTCTCTGCCTTCTACGGGGCTCTGCCTCCGGCCCTGCTTGCCTCCCTGTCCCGGCCCTTCTTTTCCCCACCTGCCTTGCAGACTTGAGTGATACAGGCCAGGGAAAGTGGCGAGCAGGGCACTATTGGCCACACCCTTCACCCTTCTGTGGACCCTCTATCATTGCCTAGGCGCCCAGCGCCAGCCTGTCACCCCAAATTCGGGGTGCTGGCTCCTGTGGGCCTGGAGTTGGGGTAAGGCAAAGGCAGACCTGGGCTGACCTGGCGGCAGCAGGGAGGTGAGCTGAGACCGGACTCCCCAGAAGATAAGAGGGCAGGGCCATAGCCCCCTGGGAATGAGCACTATTTGCATAGAACTCGGGGCCTGGAACAGAGAGTGGGTAAAAGGGAGTGGGTGGGCCTTGTAGGTGGCTAGCCAGCTGTCAGCTTGTCTGAGAGCCCCAGGGGCCCATCAGGGGTCTTCTGTGGGGCAGTGAAAGGGAACAGACAGGTTAGGGGTGGACGTGACCTGTGTTGCGGAGATTTGGAGTGCTAGAGGAGACGCTATCAAGGGCTGGCTCAGCAGAGGGAACAGCTGGTGCAAAGGTCCTGAGGTGCAGAGGGGGGCAAGAGAATGATGTCAAGGGAAAGGGGCGTGGGGGAGACAGTGTGGGGGGACGTGGGACAGCCTGGTTTTTGTTCATAGGGGTTACTCAGGATGCTCTGCTGAGAGCAGGGGCCAGGGAGGCGCATGTGACGGGTGACAGCAGACATCTTTCAGGGCTGAGGAGGATCAGGAGGTGGCGTGGGAGTGCCTGGACAGAAGGTGTGGGGGATGGCAGGACGTGGAGGACAGGCGAGAAGAAGGGGTGCACACAGGCCCCATGAGTGGAAGTCACAGTGGAGGGGAGCTCTGGGCCCTCAGGCAGCCCGCGGCCCACCTGTGGCCCCACAGTACAGTGGATTTGGACGCCGCCTCAGGAAGCTGCACGAGCACAGGCTGCTGGTTCTCCTGGGCTCTCCCCAGGGGTTGTGCATCTTGAGGCCCTGGGACAGGCAAGGAGGGCCCCAATGTGAAATGTCAGCAGTTGGGCCCTGGGGACAAGGGAGAGCCCTGCTGGCCTTTGCCTCCCGGCTGTGCAGGGATCATCTGGGAGAAGCCTGCATCATCGGTTGCTGCGTCCTGAGGTGGGGAGGCGGGGCAGGCACTGGGGAAAGCTCAGCCTGGGTGGCTCTTCAGTGTTCCCCGTTAGGCCTGGGGCCCGAGCTGGCCCCACGGCAGAATTCCCGCCGTGAACCGTCAGAGTCCCCTAAGAGCAGACCCTGAGCCCTGTCCTCATGGCTGGGGCCCACCTTTCACGCACATGACTTGCTGCAGGCTGGGTCACCTTCACTTGTGACCCAAGATGACAAGCAGCACCTTGAGAGCCCCGGCAGCAGACAACTGAAGGGGAGCCCCTTGCATGCCCCCTACTGTGTGCAACAACCAGGCAAACTCAGAGCCCGCACTAGAGGCAGAGGGGGCACAGCAAGTGAGCAGACGGGTGGTGGGCAGTGGGAGGTGAGCAGGTGAGAGGGTGGGCAGTGGGTGGTGAGCGGGTGGGTGGTGGCAGTTAGTGGGTGGGTGGATGGGTGAGCGGACAGAGGAGTGGGTGGGCGGTGAGCAGGTGGGCAGGCGAGCGGGTGAGCGGGTGGGTGGGTGGGCAGTGAGCGTGTGGACAGGTGATCCTTGATGCACCCAACCCTGCATGAGGTCCTGAAGGAACTTTCCAGGCCTGGACGTAGGGAATTCAGCTCACCTGGCCCAAAGATGTGACCCACATGCAACGCAGAGGGCCAGTTGGGTGAGAGCTGTGCCTGGGGTGGGAGCCCAAGCAGCCTGTGTCCATTCTGTCTCTGCTTGGAAGGGGATGTCTGTGGACCCCCCCGGGTTTCTGACCCAAACGACGAGGCAGCCCTGCAACAGCTGCAAAGAACTTCTGCTCATTACAAAGGCCAAATGCTCTGGCTATCTAGGGGACGGTCTGGGGGACCAGCCAGCCATTCGCACCACAGAAGAGCAGCCCCAAGTTCAGAGAAAACGCTCCCCATGCTTAAGACAGCAAAGGACAAAATCCCTCCGGAAAGATGGGGCGCCCGGACCAGCACTCAGAGCCGGCCCCGCTGAGGAGCAGGAGCAGCTCCCCCATGACTGGCATCTAGAAGCAGGTGGAAGGCCAGGCTGTGGCCAGAGAGCAAGAGCGGTGCTGGCACTGCCGGGGAGGGCACAGGCAAGGGGCAGGGTACTGGCTCTGTGAGTGCTCTTTTCCACCGGGCGTCTGGGGAGGACTCTTGTGCAGTGGTCATGGTCTGTGGCAAGAATCACGCAGGAGAAAGGAGTTGGGAAGCAGAACAGCCGGGCAGAAGTTTCCAGAAACAACGGTTGTGTCCCGGGCCTCTGCCGGGCCCCATGTGATACAGACATGGCTGCTGGGCTTAGGGGCCAGGGAGACTGGTGTCCAGATGGGAGCGTGCACAGCGGGGCCTGGCTGAGCCCTGTAACATTAGCCTAGTCACTTTCCAGGAGAGAAGGGAAGAGCGGAGTGGGGCGTCCCCACCCCCCAACCACCACTGACCACCAGTATCCACCCAGGTCAGCCTTGGGAGGCCCTGCCTTGCCCAGGGGAAACCTCAGCAACTGAGGCCCAAAGCAGAAACCACATGACAGCCGGATGATGCCCAGGGATGCTCTCGACTGGGGGTGCGGGTGGAGTTGCTCACAGCGGCCAGACACTGATGGCGTCTCCCTCCTTCCATTCTTTTCCCACCCTCCTCCCTCGGCCCTCCCTCTCCCTCCCTCTCCCTCCCTCCTCTTCCCTCTCCCCCTCCCTCCTTCCTATTCTCATTCCCTCCCTTCTCCCCGCCCCTTGCCCGCCCCCCTCCCCGGCAGATTCGGGTGGTGAAAGCGTTCCGTAGCTCCCTGTACGAAGGTCTGGAGAAACCCCAATCCAAGACCTCCATCCACAACTTCATGGCGCAGCCCGAGTTTCTGATCAATGACTACACCCACAACATCCCTCTCATCGACGACACAGATGTGGACGAGAACGAGGAGCGCCTGCGGGCCCCCCCACCCCCGTCCCCCAACCGAAACAACAACGCCATAGACAGTGGCCTCTACTTGACCACGCGTGCCACCAAGCCAGCTACCTCGTCGGTGTTTGCTTCCGGAGCCGGGAGCTCACTTCACAGTGTGGAAACGTCCCTCTGAGCAGCTCTGCTTGGGGCACGCGCAGCCCGACACGCGCACTTGGTGGGGGGGGAGGCTCTGGCCTTGCTCTGAGGCCCTGGCGTGAAGCCTGGCCGTCGAGGCTTCTTCTGGGGGGCCCGAGAAGGAGAAACGAGAACGCGAGAAGAGCTGTCCCCCCTTTTCTCTGTGGAAGCTTTTTTACACGAACTCTCCCCCGGCTGCTCACCAGCCTCACGGGGCCGCCGACGTGGACAGTCACGCGGAGCCGGCGGCCAGAGGGTGCCAGCACGCAGCATGCTCTTTCCCTCCCTCTTCTCAGGCGTCTGTGGCTTGTGGCACGGCTCCCCCAGGCACCTGGACAGCCAGAGGACCTTCGGGTGAATAACTTTGGGGTTCCGATCCCAGCCCTGCTCCTGCTGCTCCCTGCCCCCCGCAGAGTCCTGTGCCAGACGGGCACCGGCGCCGTTTTTCTCACTTCCAGGGAAACCGAGAAGTGTCGCTGCACCTGAGGGGCTGGGGCCGGGGAAGTTCCGCTTACAGCTGCCTTCGCTTCCCTCCGAACCCAAACCCGGGGTTCCACTGCTGGGCTGCTTTGTCCACGCCCCCACTTTCCAGTGCAGAGCCAGGCCCCACGGCCTGGGAAAGTGCCAACCATAACCAGGATGCGGGAGAGGGGGAAGAGGGGTCCCCCAAACCCACGAGGAGCTGACGTACGTGCCTGCCGTGTAGATCCCAGCCCCTTGGCACCTCCCGCTGCTCCCCCCATTTTCCTTGGGGAGCCGAGGCGGGTGGCTGGGTGGGGAGGCCCTGGGGGGCTCCGGGAAACGTGCCTGTGCCCTCTCCTGACCCCGGCCTCACCCGACACAGGCCAGCAGAAGTCCCCATGTGGGCCCTGTGTGTCCCAAGGTCTCGGGACAGGAAGGCCAAGGGCGCCAGCAATTTCTGCAGAAGCCTGTCCTGGCCTTGCGAGCACCCAGGTTCCCCTGAGGGGTACACAGACGGCCCCAGCTTCCAGAGCTCCTCACAGAAGCCAAGAGGAACGGGCCAGCTGTGGGTCTGCAGCCACACCAGCTTCTCTTGAGCGCTGTGTGTTTGAACGCACCCCTTGTTTCGGAAGCCACTGTGGGCTCCTCGCGGCTGGGACCAGTACCTGTCGCCGGGGAGAGAGATGTGGGCACCAAGAGAAAGACGGGGTGTGGGTGTGCTCGGGATTGCCCCTGGGGCTGGTCTCCACCCGCGATCGTGAGTGTCCAGCCGGTGTGGCCCGCCCACTGAGCTGTGCTGTCCGATCTGAGCACGGGACTTTTGGTAAAGAAAGAACCCCTCCCCTTTCAAATGCTGCAGATGACTCCAAGCCATCCTTGTTTCCAAAGGCACATGGAGAATGTTACCATTTGTAAATTGTTCCCAATGTCCTCGTGTCAACCCCGACAAACAGGGCAGGTCGCTGGGTTGACCCCACGCTGCGTGGCTCAGGCTGCTCTGGGATGAGCCACCGACCAGCTTCTCTTCGTTCTCTCCCAGCCGCCACATCTGGCCACGGGGCGGCCGCAGCTGCTTTACCGCGCTCCCGCGCCGCTCGCCAATGCGCCTCCTTGCAACTGTCTCGTCCCCAGGTGGCCTTTCTGCAGGGGGCTGGGGTCAGGAAAGGGGCGTCGCAAGCTCGGGTTTCGTTTTGGCCTGGGCCGTTCCTGAGAGCCCAGACTCAGTGGGAGCCCCTCTCTCTCTTTCTCTCTCTCTCTCTCTCTCTCTCTCTCTCTCAGCATTATATTATCCGGAATGGCTTAGGCAACTGTGTTCAGTTATTAAATCTGTTTTACATTTTTATCTGCCTGTTATAAAGATGCACCAAAATTATCTTCGTGGGGAAGCTCACAGATGCATACTAATGTACTAGTGTGTAGTGCGCCTTCCTAACTTAAAGCCTCCACCCACATTTCTGTGTATGAAACCCCAATGAAAGGTCCCTCGAGTCCCGCTCTGCACAGTGCATGTGACTTGTTCTTTGGGGCACTCTTGCTGGAGACAGAGGAGCTGCCTTCATCGCCACTCCAGCCTCAGTCCCAGCAGACCCTCTCGCTCTTCAGCGGTCTGGCAGCAGCACCTGCCATGGCCACTTTGTGCCAGGTTCAGGGATCGTCCCCTCCCCCTCCTCATCACCCCAACTCCACTCTGGCCCCATGAAAAACCAATGTCCCAGGCCCCAGTTCTTGAGCCCTCCCTGTCCCCTCTCTCCACACCGGCTCCCCAGGCCCTACAAACAAGGGAGTTTACCCCACAGGCCCGTGGCTTGGCAGCTGGCCGGCTCTCTTTGGCATCCCATCTCCAGTACCGTGCGGGCTCAGCTGGGTCCAGGCTCCTTCCATCTGCGGCCACTGCCCGCCCTTGACGAGTCCTCTTGATCGCGGCTCGCCCAGGATCCTGCCTCAGCCCACCTCGCAGGCCCATGGAAAAGCTCGGGGCGACTCCATAACAAGGCATCCATCTGGGGGGCCAATTATGAACTGAAGGTAGTGGGGCTCCAGCCTTCCATGAGGGGCTCCTGGCCAGGACACCAGCCACGTGGCACCAGGACATCACCCTAACCCGACACCTGCCAAGAGCCAGTCCAGATCTGTAGGGTAGGCGTGAGAAAGGGTCCCTTCTTGTGGGCTGGGCAGGCCATGTGACACTCCAGGAAGCTTCTAGGCATCTTTTCTCAGTAATTGCTCATTGCTAACCTTGTGAAAACAGGAATAATGGAGATGGAAGGAGGCAGAGTGTCCCTAGCTCGGGGATGGGGGGGGGGGTGCACTGACAGGAGAGAAATCGGATGAACCCAACCCACGCAGAGCCACCCACTTCCCACCTTGTCTACAATAATGGAGCCTGCGGCCACCTCATATCTTCTCTTGGTGGCCAGAAAAGTGACACAGGACCTTTTAGACCCTGGCTTTTGGGGAGGTGGGCACCAAAGTCCCCAGACCCATGGACTGGCACCCCAATAGGTAGAGGGGGGACAAGAAGTGGTACCCCCTGAGATGGCAGGGTCCCAGCCACTCAGCCTATAAAGCAGAAAAATGAGGCTCATACCAAGAAGGAACTCAGCCTGGCATCCAGTGATTCTGAAAAGAGATAGAGGACCCCAAATTTCCAGGAGAGGGGGCATGTCTGTTAACATAAGTGACTCAGAACTTTCTGAATGGAGAAACCCAAGCACCAGGCGGGCCTACCAAACTAGTATCGCCACTTTCTGAAAACCCCAGAGTATGGGGTAGGGAATGACAGCCTGGAAGAGGTGCAGTTGGTGACAGGTCTGGAAGGTTCCACCATCACCAAACAGTCCACTGTGGTACCACGGGTTTAGAAGAAACACAGGTGCACAAGGCCACCAGCTGCACTCAGACAGCAGAAATGCAGCCCCTCTTCCGCTCCTTACCATCACCCACAGGGACACTGCAGTCACACACAGCCTCTCCACTCCACTCCGTGGCTGTGAAGGTGCCATGCCGGGGGGGGGCAGGTTATATCCCCAAGCCCTGCTGGGACCAAGCACCGGGCCATCAAGCCCACACAGCCAAGCTGAGCATTGCTAGGAGTCTCCGGGTCTCCAAACCGTTCTGGGAAGGCTGCGCCCCGGAGGAAACAAGAGCAGGCAGATCAGCCCCAGACTCCAGTCGGCCCATGAGGATGGGGGGAGCAGGCCAGGCAGGGCACCCCACGAACACCCTCAGCTCAGGAAGCAGCGGGGCACTTTCTAGATTTAGGGCCAGTGGAGGTTGGCCAGAGAGGTGCTGAGGGAGAAACCCATAGCTCTCACGGTGCCTCTGGGGCCCAGCGGTCATGACAGAGGCACCGTGTACAATAGAGAAACCTGAAAGCAGCCCGAGAAGGGGGACCAGATGTGGAGCAGTGATCTACCAAAGGAAAGCAGAGACTCCCTGGCCACAGGAAGGAGCTGTACCACAGACCAGTGCCCCAGGACACTCCCCTGATACCGAGCCCACTCAGCCAGCGTGCAGACAGTCACCTGAGAAATGTGAACCACTCTCACCAGTCGGGGCTCCGTGTGTGCCAGTGGCGGCACCTAGGGAGGTGGAGGGTGTGGGAACAGGGGACAAGAGCACAGTCCCCCATAGCTAGGACCCTGCACAGGGTGTTTCTCGGAAGTAAGAGCAACATGGAGCTTCAGTTTTTAGTGTCCTGGCAGCGGTGGTGTGACAGTTGTGAATGACAGCCCCCATGTCCCCTGTCCACCTTGGTCAGATCTGCCCATCTTTCCAAAATGAGGCTCACTCGCCAAACAGGGCAGTGCCTCAGCCCAAAGGACGGGGTAGTGGGACAAGAAAGAGGGCACACCTCCAGGCCAATGGCACAACACGCATCCTGCCCTCTGGAAGACACTGAGCTCAGCCTGAAAGCAGCTCTGCATCCCAGGGGACTTTACAGGTAGACTGAGTCCCAAAGACGCACAAAAACCGGAACTGGAGACATTACCTTGCACACTGCGGACTTGGGTTCAATCCCTGGCATCCTACATGGTCCCCTGAGCATCACCAGGAGTGATTCCTGAGTGCAGAGCCAGGAGTAAGCCCTGAGCATTGTCAGGTGTGACCCCAAATAAAAGAAAACCAAAAAATTGCCCCCCAAGGCCACCCAAGCTACAGAACAAAGACAGAGCTCCTCAGAAGAAAGATGGGGCACCTCAGAACAAAGACAGGGCGCTTCAGAGCAAAGACAGGGCAGCAAAGAACAAAGTTGAGGCATCTTAGAGGAGTTTTGGATCATCTTTTTATTAGACAAAAATAGAATTTATCTACGGCATATTTCATTCTCTATAAATTGGGCTCTTTAAAAAAAAATCCATAAGGGGGCCACGCCCGCCTGTTTCTCAGATTCTCATTCCAATGATGTATTGTCCCAAATGTGATCACAGGTCCTCTCACAAGACAAAAGCAGCCTCGCCGCCTGGGGTCCAGCCCCGCCTGCTCAAAGCCTGCCTGCTGGAGGCACGGCTGCCACACGCGTGGGGCAGGGGCTACCCGGAGAGTGCAAGCAACAGGTGTGACGGTCTCCCGTGGCACAGAGCCAGTGTCCCCACCAGTCCTCGGGGAACCAGGCGTCCCGGGCAGGGTCTTAGGGGATCTCTGTGTCCATGGTATAAATCTGAATGAGATCAGACACAATGTTATCAATGATTGGCTTGGTTATGTCCTCACTAAACACCTGGAAAGAAGAAGGAAAACAAACTCTGGTTAGACTCGCTCTGGCCACACCAGCCACCCTCACCGCAGGATTTCTGCATAGAACATTCCAGAGGTCAGAAGGCTGCAGCTTCCCCTGGGGCTCCGGGGATATGGGGGGAGCAAGAAGGTGGTCCCCACAGGACTACCTCACAGCCTACAGCAGACCTCTGGGAGGCGGACAGGGATTCCCATGGGGTCCCAGCAGGTCTGGCCCTGGATGGCTTCTGGAGGGGGCACCCTGCTCCAACAGTCTTAGCTGGCAGCATGAGTTCTGGGGGGTCCTTAATCTCGGGGAGGGGCAGGTGTCACTAAGGCAGGCCTGGTGGGCAACCCTGGGGGAAGCACCACGTGTGTGCCTAAGTCGAGAGGACTATGTTCAGCCGTGGTACTGGGCTGTGCCCTACCCCGTGGAAGCACATTCCCAGCTACCTTCCAGGAAGCCGAGGGGAGTCCCATGGTGAGCCACAGGGCTGCCGGGAAACCAAGATTCCACACGGGCTCAGAGGTGCAGATCAGGGCTAATTCCTGGGTGTCCAAGAAGTGG